GGATTGGTCGCTCAATATGCATGCGTTCCAGAATTACGTCGAATCCAAACAGGCATGCGTTAATTTAAATGCCACTCTCCTCTACGAAAAATGCTCGTTAACTGCGTATTTTGTATGCTTCTATTCCCCTTCCCTTCCATTCCCTTTTTACCTCTTACATATGCATTTCTATGCGTTTTGTGCTGTGTAACAGCAGTACAAAACGCATATTATCACGGGGTTGTCTGTATGTGTTTGTATGCGTTTGTGTCCGCAGCAACTTGTCCGCAACTTTCAACTCGGGAACCACAAAAGCTAGGAAGCTGAAAATTCAGGGGAACGTTCCCCATCCACGTGTGACCCTGCAAATTTAAATTCAGCTTCCCCGTACCCACGAGTAACGCGTACGGCCCCCTGAAAGTTTTTCACGGGTAAGTAAATATCTCGGGAACCACGGAGTCTTGGAGGCTGAAATTTTAGGGTAATGACTCCCTGCCCTCGCTCAACCTTGCTTATTTAAATTCAGCGTTGCCACGCTCTTGAGCCTCGTGAAAATTTTGGCGGGTAAACTATTAACTTGGGAGTCACGGAAAAATATTCACCTTTCAAGGTTTCGAACTCAGCTTTCATGCGCAGGTGCGTGAAATTTTTGACAACTTTTTAATGTTTCAACTGTTTTTGCATGGGCTAAAGTACAAAGCAGTAAAAATCATTAATAGGCAATCGTTCGATGAGCTAAATTGCACAACACGCATGATCGTACCGGCTAGTCTGGTGCGCGTTGCTATTTATTATATTTTTTATACATTCGTGGTGAAGCCCGGGATATAGCCCAGAATCGAAGGGCCTGACATGGCTGCGCTTGGTTTGTGAAGCATCCTAGTAACATCACTAACAGGAGGATCCTACATCTGTTAGCCCGATCGGTCTTGGTATTCTTGGTGACGAAGTGAGATTTTAGTTCTCTGAATTAATGGAAGAAATTATGGAAGAAATTAATGGAAGAAATTATATGGAAGAAATTCTTGGTTTAAATTTACCACTCCTTAATATTCTCACATATACTGCTACTGTGAGCAGAAATTGAAGCATCACTCTCATATTGCCCTATGTGCAGTGTTGGTACTTCTGAGAAAAACTACGTTTACATCTCTTTCATCTATTTAATTCTTACACGTCACTAAATTATACTGTTACCACAATCTTCGTACTGACGAGGTCCAACTGTGGTAACGGTAAGAAATGTGTACGACTTAATGGACCAGAACATTTCTTACCAACTTTAATAATTCTTTGCAACCCTTTCATTTTTTTTTTTCACATTTTCTCCAAATCCCTAAATCAGAATATCCACTTTTCGATAACTTTCATTTGAAAAATTAGTTTTGAACGTATTTTGACCTGTTTCAAAAAATAATTTTTTCTTCTGCTCGGTGTAGGATTTCGGCGAACTACTTATCTGAGGGCTAGGTAGTCTGCAGCAGCAGAAAGAGTGGCAGTATTCCGTGTTCAGTTTCTCTGGAATATGAACTGAAACTTGAGGGATCTTTGTGTTAAACGGAATAGTATGATTGGTAGCTGAAAGCGGTGCTGCGCAGATATTTTGCCAACACTTACCTTTTCAAGATGGAGAAAGTATTTTTCACAAGTAATCATCCGTTAAACATGCAACGACTGCTGTCATGGTGCACATTGTCCGACATTGAGTGCAGGTGTTTCAGATTGATCACAGGTGGTCGATTCTGACGGATCTTCAACAGAGGAATGTGTTTCTGGGTTTGCTAGAGCAGCTGGAACGTACTGAGCCGAATGTGC